AGAGAGCAGATTACATGTACAATTTGGCGGCCTTATCGCTACACAGCGATCTCTTCCAGGCAACCAAAGGTGTAAAGGAATGAAGCAGTGAATACAGCAGGGAGGTGAATACAGCAGCTTTTTTAATTATTGTTTATGGTCCGATCTATGAACTGACTGACTATGTCCTGAGGTCTTGCAGAGAGTTGAGAAACGTCTGGAATAAAAAATAAAAATAATTAAAAGTAAAATTAAACGCGATAAAATCCGTAAAAGTAGTTTTAATCAATGTGTAGTGTTCGCGTACCTAAATATAAGAAATCATTAGATATCAAATAATACAAATTACGAATACAAAACGTGCTGCTTTAAAATGCATTTGGATTGAATTTTTAATTTTGCTTAAAATAATAACAAACGATTATTTATAAATTGAGATAACATTTAAAAGGACTCTATAGTAAATGGTGTTATCGTTGTGAAAGTCTCTCTCAGCGTGCATTTTTGAATCTTGTTTTTTTCCCCATGAACCTAGAATTTTTTCTACGTTAGACTTATGGCGAAATAATCTCTGGACTTATAACTGGCAATTAAACAATAAAACCTTTTCCTAATTATTCAAAAAGAGATGAAGGATCATGAAAATTTTTAAAACCTCTGACAAATTTGTTACATAATATTAATTAACCTTTATACATTCTTCAATATCACACAAGTGTACAGCGGGTTCGCAAATACAATAAAATCTCTGATTAAATCTGCGAATAGAAGAATATCTCAAAGTTAGAGCTACAGAAAGTTTTTAAATTTTAATGGAACATGCCACGCATTTGATCATTTTTGTATGAAAATAACTAATTTAATTCTATTTCATAAAATTTTTGTGATTATATTATTTTTATAAATAGTATAACAAACTCAAGTAGATATTTTCTATTCGTAATATACTCGTTTAAGCTACCTTGGGTTAGCTTATACACCAAGACGTAACATGACGCTACGCGGCGCGCAGAGAAGTATCTTAACTTGAAGAGGCCAGCTTTTTTCGCGAGAACAGCTTTTTGCATCAAGCAGAGCCGCCATGGCTAGTTTTCCAAAAATAATTTAATTAATACTAGCTTAACCCAATCAAATTGTTAGGACTGTCCACGTTACTTCCTTCTACACTCTCAGAAATTTGTAACTTCTTTATAAGCCCTATAAAAAGCTTTGTGATTATAGATCAAAGGTTTTGTAGCTAGGCGTCGTGTCACGTCTCGTTTCTGTGTGAGAACATACTCTAAACCTAAATCTAATATTATACTAACGTAACATTATCAATGTAATCTTAACAATTTCTTGTGAAATAATAATGCAATAATAAAGTTATTTTGTCTGTTCCTTCTGTCATCGCATTTCAGCACAAGTGTGTATATACTTATAATAGATGTTACAAATATATATAATCAAGAAATACGAGTACATTCTCATATTATGTTCTTAAAATATAAAATCACCCGCTTCGTTTACTGTTTTTCACAACCTTTACTTTTTATTACCTTGTGTGTTTCTTATTAAAAATTGTACGCAGGTATATGGAAACAGATAAAAGAACAAATTTAAATATTTATATATCTAAATTTTTACTACATTCTATCTCATCTCATAAATTGAAAATAAATGCTATTTAGTATTGGGTTTGAGAGTAATTATTATTTTAGATGGTGTTTTATCAATGGATATAGATAATTATATGCACGATGAATTTTTGACTTTTTTTCTATTAATTTCCTTGAGGTCCTTACTAAGTGACGCAGATGCTGATAAATATAATTTATACCATACCTTGATCAAAAGTTCTTATTTCGACCCTACATTCAGGGACGAATGTGTCACATTGCCTCCCGATTCAATGATAATTAAGTACGCATGTGTCAAATCCTAGCTCTACTGTTTTTATTTAAGGTACCTACATTCATTTCGAAATAACATAAGTACATCGGAAGGAAAGTATGACATCACAACCCGCGTTCCTATCACCTTCGCCTTCGACAATATCACATGGGTTGCATTGTCCTCCCCCCCCCCTCGGTGCGTAATATACTATTAAATATATAACCTCTGTTTAGTTACATAATCCTCCCATTATGGTGCCAAATATTACTGATTTCACATAACATCTGCATCCTAATATAACTAAGATTAGGTATACAAATTATAATTAGTCTATATACATATTCAAAGACAAAGTAGTGACTGTTTTTACAAAACAGATAATATTATCATAGGAAATTGGATGAAAAAATCTAACAAAGACATAATTAGCGTATACAGTATTATTGTACATACTGACTTCTTAATACACTAAGAAAAAGCATAGAAAAAGAACTATAATATCATTTAAAAAAATAAATTTTGATATTAAGGTGGGTATAACAACTATACTAAATTACTAAAGTTTTAGGATAAATTTAACAACTTGATAGGTATAATCAACCATAAAGGAAGACAGAGTGTGTAGCGGAAGAGCAAAATGTTCTTGCCTATACTGTTATAATATTTATACTAAAGGTAATATTCCCATCCCTATGAATTATGCTCGTGATTGTGTGATCTTATCCTATTGAGTTTAGGCATAGATCAGAATAAAAAAGTTTAATGCTATGGACACAGTTGTACGTGTCTAATAAAATGCACAAAATTTATTTTTTAGTTTTCTTTATAATAACCTAGTGAATTTCATCGTAATGGAAAAGCATTTTTTTAAATTGCTATAAAAGATGGACGTATAAATACATTTCTTAAGTGATTTTAATTCTATAATTAAAAAAGCTACTTTAATAACTGTGCGTACAATAATATTGCTTCAACAAGTGTGAGTAAAATTTAAGCTCAGGCAAAACAACCGACATTTCTACATATTATCTACTAAACTAGTGGACATATACAATATAAAAAAGTGGACATGAATTTTCTCTCTATAGGTACACATCTTTGTTTTTTTACGTAGGCCACATGGAAGCTGAAGCTTTATTTAATGTTTTGAATCGATTTAATAATGATCATAGTGGGATTGTCCCGCCAGATCAAATTTAAAAGACTTATCTTAGAAGTAAGCGCGTTAAATGAGCACACAGTCCACTTGATGGTACGTGAATGGTGCGGCGCGTAGACACCTATTATACAGTTATACTCGATTAAGAACGGAAATGCAGATGTGTGAACCTGTGAGTACTAAAATGGAAAGTCGCGTTACCAGTAACAAGCAGTAAAATTAGAATTTTTGTACAATCGACTTCAATATAAATAAAATGAGAACATCATCAATGTAGTTGAAGTCGATTAAGTATCCATTATTAAGGATAACTCAAAAACTAGTAGTCAGATCGCGATCAAATTTATATCTTTTTTATCTTTTTTTATCTTTATTTTTAAAAAAACGTTACCCCTACACTAAGATTTTCTCGTGTATTGTGGGGGCAGTTTACAAACATAAATTGCACAAGGACGAACATCCAGACCCGGAACAACTACTTGTAGGCCATACAAATACTTGTTCCGTGCGGGATTCGAACCCGCGACCCCCCAGCGCAGCCACTCATTGCTAAGTCACTGCGCCACGGAGTCGTCAATGAGCCATATGAGAGCTTTCAAATAAAAAGGAATCATCAAAATCGCTTCAATTATAAAAAAAATACAGTCAAATTGAGTACTTCCTCCTTTTCTTGAAGTCGGTTATAAAATGGCCAGGTCTTATCACTCTCTATACGAATACGAAACACAGCAGCATTCTGCTGATAGTTTAAGTTATTATTCGTTGAGTGCGTGGGCCTTACCCGTCCGAGCCGTTGCTGTTGCAGCCATTATATTTCAACTGCAACGTACAAGTCGCGCCACGTAAGTCTAGCGCTGAACGAAACGAGGAGGTATAGCTGCGCATGTGTTATTATTACGGGAGACGGAATGCGACTGAAGACTGAAGAGTCAATCAGCGCGTGCGAACGATACGCACAGCCAATCGGCTCGTGCGAACGATACGCACACCCGCTCCGCGACCCGCTTATTACCCCGTTATAGCTTATTTTTGACTTATGTGCAATAACGGTCATCGCTAGACTTTCGTTCCGCTACTTATACTCGTAAGTAGTTGTTCAAACAGACCGGCTCTTCCACTTCATATACCGGGTTTTTTTTTAAAGTGTTTAAGATAATTGTGATTTAGAAAAATTTATAGTGTTTACGAGTAAGTGCGACTTAGGTTATTTGTTATTTAAAAAAGCAAAAGAAAATAGGAGATCCATAAAAGATGGGCTTGGAAAGTAACTATCTGGCATATGAAAGTATGAAACCGCATATTATTTAAAGTTTTGTTATAATTACATCATATTATGACTGCAGTTAAAACTCCGATCAAAAATGTAATTTGTCGATTTGTTTTTTTATCAGGGGTTTTGGCTGGAACTTGACCGCCGTCGTATTTTTGCTCCGGTGTTATGGTTTTAATATATTGAAGGTTGATTTTGACACGTAAAAGTGATGTGATTTTGTGTATTATTATGCACTGTATATAGAAACGACGAAATGTGTACTCTGATGTTGATATAAACCTCAATTTATTTTTAAGAACTCAAGTTATCGTCGTAAACAACATCAACTGTCTGATGGCTTAAGTTGTAGTTAAAATCTCCAAAAAATACTTGATACTGGCAAAAGTGAGACTGAACCAAAAAATGTCAGTGACGAGTCAATGACGATAACGTAAGTGGCCGAAACCGACAAATATCCTTTGATCTACTAGGAGTAATTTTTCATCATTATCGTTTACCGTTTACGTGCACAGACATTTAATACCCATCACCGCCAAACACAATAAATTTTCTGTATGAGTGTCCATTTTAAACCATTTAAAAATTATATATGAGCAGTCCGGTAAATTTGCCGGCGAAACCTAACGATGGCTTAAGTGGTAACGGAGACCGTCAAGTTTAGTTATTAAACGTGCCATCGATTCTAAATCGTCGGCCACGTATAGAAAATTTACGTCACTGAACCGTAGGTGGAGCGAACTCGGGGAGATTCTCGGGCAGTGGAGGGAGGACGTTGGTCTCGAACTGTCCTGATATATTGCCGGGTGGCGAATAGTTCGCGACCACAATCACCTTGCCGGCTCGAGAACGAGCCTTGCCGACCCCGAAGAAACGCGTCGCAACCCAAACCATTTGTGTGAAGTGACCTGAGAATATAGAGAACAATTTTTTTAGCTCAATTAAATAATTGAACAAAACAATAGTACTAATAGACGACCGAATCTGGAACGGATTGGTTACGGGTAACCAAATCCGCTAGTAATGATTTCTTCTTTTTACACGAACACTTCGAACAAAACTTAATATTTCTGATTGATTTTTTCGCGTTTAATTTAAATTATTTTTAATTCTCGACGTTTCGAGTGCTTTGCAGCATCCAAAGTAACAGGGGGACTCATGGTCACGCGTAAGCGCGATAAGATTCGTAAAAATAATTTTATTCAAATCCGCTAGTCACAACAGACGGCCGAATCTGGCATTATAATAAATTAGGTACGGACGTCACGCTTCTGATGTCCGATTTTATTTTTCTTCTTTCTGTGCGACAAGTGCCTCTCCAATTGTTTGTTATAGAATTTTCTATAATTATCACGCTTGGCTACCGGATTGAAGATCGCGGTATCAGACATATCAAATCTTTGTCGATGCTACCTGGAGCCTGTCTGGATATTTTTCTTCCGATTCCCGTGATTCATAAGAAGTGACTATGGGAAATTTTTGATTTTAACTTATTTTTTCGCCTTTAACATGTACAGGGCTCACATATTCTTAATTTTCTTTTCGCGTTCTTTTTGCTTCTTTCATATTTCGAATACCAATTATAAATAATTTCTAGTATCTGTTCTTCTTCTATTTCCTTTTGGAATATAAAATATATGATGTTTTGAGATATTTTTAGACTTTTTTTAAACTGTTACTGGCATTATTTAAAAAAAGAATATGTTTTTCCTCTCAAAATGCCGCTCCTTAAAATCTGCCGCATTCCTCATAGCTAATGAAGAAAGTTAGTACCTAAAATTTAAAACTAAAATATAACTAAAATTTAAAAAGCATAAGTGGTACTGAAAATATATCTTATGAAAATGTATCTAGAATTTCAATGTTTTTACTGTCCGGTTACTTTTGTCTGTTTGTCTTACCTGCATTGACATTAGCATGGAGAACATCATTCTCCTTGAAGAAATTGTATTGACGAACTGCTGCGTACCAGTACGAAGATACTTCTTGACCTAAAGATAAGAATAAAATTATGTGGTAATTATATAAGAGCCGTGGTAACTCGTTATTGTACTGACGTACTAACATAGATGTTTTCTTCTCGCTGGTTACTATAATTCAACTATAAAGGTACTCTGTGAATTCAACTATCCACAATGCGGGCTATATTTATACACAAGGAGATTGCCGATGATTTTTTAGACGTTTGTCTATATACTAAATAATTTAACATTTTGCTATAACTAACTGCACTAAAACCGAAACGAGAGAGTAATAAACAGAAGCGAGAGAAGGCTTTCTACAAAAAGAAGTATTAAAGTCCAAACTTCAGAAGCAATTTTATGTGGAAATTATTTAATTCTTCTTAGTTCTTTGAAATCGGCTTTTTAGTTTTAAAAGTATCTAATGTTAACAGACAGCGATGCTTTTCAGCTTGATACTCGGAAGTAACAACGCATCTACATTTTGGTTTGAAGAAGTAAGGGTGTTGTACTTCCATAAAAGAATCGTAAGTAGTTATATTATAGCAGTTATACATGGTAGAGCCATGCTGCATGGTAGAGCTGTTATATTAGTAGTATAGTTGTAGCACGAATGGGTCGGCTCGACTGGGGAAGGATCCATGCTCTCACAGAATACCAGCGTAAAATAGTAGCTTAATGCTGCTGTATTTCATTTAGTGTGTAGAGAACCGGAGACCCTTTTTACTGGAAACGAGGCATTCCACCTTAGTCCCCACGGATGACAAAGCATCTGCATTTTTAATTCGTAATCGAGGATAGATGTAGATGTCTATGGGCCACAGCAATCACTTACCATCAAATGGACTGTGTGCTCGTTTGTCACCATATCCTATAAAAAATTTAAAAAATACGCTACCTGTGACGTCAGGTTGCAACGCGCTGACTGGTCGCTGATAGAGATTTTGGCCAACGTCGCGGTCGTTCCTGTAGTGAAACTTGTTGGTGTGCGCTAGGTGGTTGGCCCACGCCTGCGCGTAGTCGCAAAGCTGAAAATAAATAGATAGAAAAATGTTTTAAAATCCGAACGGTTTGTTTTTTTTGGTTATAGACTCGTACGATTGGTATTATTGCCAGTGTTATCATCATCATCCAGTCAATGTAAGGATTATTCGCCTTAATCGTCACATTTGGCAAGCGAATTAAAATCGCTGGATCAGACAGTAGTACGTATACGTGGTAGAACCATCATGCTACAGATATAATATTATCGTTGTAGCACGAATATGTCCACTCGACCGGAAATGTTCACGCTCTCTCAGAATACCAGCGTGAAAAAGCGGCTGAATGATTCTGTGTTTTGTATGGTTAGTGTAGAGAACCGAATATTGTTTATTCATTTCTTATCTAATTAATATGAAATACAACTAAAATTAAAGAGCCATTACATTTTTCTAACAATTTAACTTAGCCGCTGTGAAATCTTTGAAACATTTCATCTTATTTCAAGGTATTATTTATATTTTATACCCTGGTAGCAAAAAAGTCGTAGATGCATCTTTGTGCGTCATTAGGAGAATTTTCTTAATTACACTGTAAATGTTTTTCTATGAATTTAATGATTTTTTCTTTATTAAAGAGTGAACTTTAAACAACGACCTTTGTTATTATGTATACTTCGTATTACAACATATTAGAGAAGCAATTCCTTCTTTACGTATAGTGAAATAGAATTTAACAAACATTCACTTGTATTAGAGATTGACCTATTTCCTACTATTTGGAATTCTGTTAGAAAAGTAATGGAAAATGAGTTTTTCATTCACAATGACCGCTAGGATAATTCAAATTACATTCCTTTGTTTTAGGGCAGGATAAAGTTTTGGGTTTTTTGTTGGTAGTTTGATGAATTGAGGTGCAATTCCGTAGCCGACTGCAGGGAGCAGCAGCAGGTGACGTGTCGCCGTGACATGACGCGGCGTCATGTCGCTGCAGCCATGACTTCGAACCCGACTGCAGACGGCAGCAGCCCGTGTCGAGTCTGTTCCAAGTGTTCAGTGGGACATGATGTCTGACGTGTTTGAAATTAGCGATAGCGAATTATTTTTGTAACAAAAGTTAGAAGAGGAAGAAGATGACGATGAATTGCTTTTATTATACAAGTATAAAGAGAAAAGACGAAAAAAGAAGAGAAACTGAGGGAACGTACAGTGCGGGATATTGAGCCATCTGGTTTATCCGTTTCTCTTCCTCGGAATCGGTGAAACTCATTTTTTAAGACAAATTCAACGTGTTGTCGCTCGGACGTTGGCGGCATTACTTTACTTATCTGCGGTCGGGTTACAGTGTGGTCTGCCGCTGGCAAACGACGTGTCGCTAACTACGGAACGTATTTCATGGAACTATGTAGAAACCAGTTGCGTCCCGACGACACGTCGCTTGCTGTTGCTGTCTACAGTCGGCTACGGAATTGTACCTATGGTGAAATACTTTATAAGTATTATAAATGATTTCTTATATATACGCGAACACTACACATGATTAAAACTACTTTTACGGATTTTATCGCTTTTATTTTTGCTTTTAATTACTTTCATTTTTAATTCCCGACGTTTCGGGCGCTTTCCAGCACCCATGGTCACGGGGTACTGAGATGACTGACGTCCCGATGTCATTGTTAAGCCCGGAGTACCTTCAGTTTAAAGAATTATAAATTTAGATGAAAGTAATATAATATGTAATTAGTAATTCCTCTTACCATTTTGTTACTTTATGAAGGTTTGTTCTGAAGTATTATATAAACTTAAACAAATAAGAGCGAGATAGATGACAGGGTGACAGATGAGGTAAAGCAAGATAACTTGCAGGATGAGAGCAAGATGAAATATAAGAGTATATAGAAGACGCAACCTAATGGGAAGATGAGACTGACGCGGTTTGTGAACGGGTAACGCTAACAACTTGTAAAAAATAGTATACATATTTTACAGTTCACTACGCTACATAAATAAACATAAGTCCACCCATTGTAAACCCTAGTTATTGTAAATGTAATAATGTAATAAAAACACCCTGTAGACTATGCATATATATAACGCAAGGTGACAATCGAGCTTCCATCTGGTTGGGCTGGCTGTAAGCTATTTATTTAACAATATTTTATTGAATACATTCTATTAAATATATATTTAATTCTATATTATTTATGTTAATAGTATGTTTATATATATTTAAAAGTAATTATGTAGCCCAGTCAGATAACAAACAGATTTTGTGGATCATAATACGCTAGGTTATATTGTTTATAACACATTTAAGGTCACTACACACCGAGACGTGACTCGACGCGACGCGCAATTTTTAAGATAGTGATACAAAATATGACTTTATTTACTACACAAAAAGATACACAATTTGTTGAGATAATTCAAAAATGCCCCGTGGGGTCACAACAAACAAGTTGGCTTGGAAGTATGACCGCTCAGATAAATGAATAAGTGCACTAAATTGCTCACTAATTGCTCAATTCAAATCCGCAATTGCTCACACTATTAATGAATTATAGTTATTAATAATTAAATATATAAAATATTTTTTCCCTATTATACTTAAAACCAATGAACTTTTCTAAAAACGAATAAATACAATTAACTGCTCAAGAAATGATTAATTCAAAACCGTATTTGATCACACTATTAATTAATTATTTAATTAAAATTAATAGTACAAAATTTTTTTTCATAACCGATCAGAATATTGAATAAGTGTACAAAATTGCTCACTAATTGCTCATTTCAAATCTGCAATTGCTCACAATATTTATCATTTATTTTATTAGTTATTAATAATTAAAAATACAAAATTGTTTATTAGTGAGCAATTTCGGATTTGAAATGAGCAATAAGTGAGCAATTTACTCATTTTTAGAAAAGTTCTTTGGTTTTAAGGCAATAACAATTTTGTATTTTTAATTATTAATAACTAATAAAATAATTGATAAATATTGTGAGCAGTTGCAGATTCGAAATGAGCAATTAGTTAGCAATTTTGTGCACCTATTCAATATTCTGATCGGTTAAGGAAAAATAAATTTGTACTTTTAATTATTAATTACTAATTAAATAATTAGTAAATAGTTTGAGCAATTGCGTATTACGGTTAGGCATTTTGTGAGCAATTAGAAGTACTTATTCATTTTTAAAAAAAGTTCTTTAGGCAATAATAATTTTGTATTTTTAATTATTAATAACTTATAAAATAATTGATAAATATTGTGAGCAATTGCAGATTTGAAATGAGCAATTAGTGAGTAATTTTGTGCACTTATTCAATATTCTGATGGGTTAAGGGAAAAAAATTGTACTTTTAATTATAATTTACTAATTAAAGTAGTTAGTAAATAGTTTGAGCAATTGCGTATTACGGTTAGGCATTTTGTGAGCAATTAGGAGTACTTATTCATTTTTAGAAAAGTTCTTTGGTTTTAAGGCAATAACAATTTTGTATTTTTAATTATTAATAAATAATAAAATAATTGATAAATATTGTGAGCAGTTGCAGATTTAAAATGAGCAATTAGTGAGAAATTTTGTGCACCTATTCAATATTATTATAGGTTAAGGAAAAAAATTTTGTACTTTTAATTTTTAATTACTAATTAATTAGTTAATAGTTTGAGCAATTGCGTATTACGGTTAGGCATTTTGTGAGCAATTAGGAGTACTTATTCATTTTTAGAAAAGTTCTTTGGTTTTAAGGCAATAATAATTTTGTATTTTTAATTATTAATAACTAATAAAATAATAAATATTGTGAGCAATTGCAGATTTGAAATGAGCAATTAGTGATCAATTTTGTGCACTTATTCAATATTCTGATCGGTTATGAAAAAAAATTTGTACTTTAAATTATTAATTTTTAATTAAATAATTAATTAATAGTGTGATCAAATACGGGTTTGAATTAAGCATTTCTTGAGCAATTAATGGTATTTATTTGTTTTTAGAAAAGTTCATTGGTTTTTAGTATAATAGGGAAAAAATATTTTGTATTTTTAATTATTAATAACTAATAAAATAATTCATTAATAGTGTGAGCAAATGCGGATTTGAATTGAGCAATTAGTGAGCAATTTATTGCACTTATTTATTTATCTGAGCGGTTATACTTCCAAGCCAACTTCTTTGTGGTCGTGGGGTCGCGCTACACCGCACTGCGCTTCGAGGTGTCAGGCGGCGTAGCCCGACGTATCAAAAGCAACCGTGCTTCGTCGGTAAGCGCAGCGTGCAAAAGCGGTGCGCTGCCCGATGCAGTAGTCGCTTCACGATGAGACTCGCGACAGCAAGCCACATCGTGCGTCGCGTCGTTGCATCGTTGCGTTGCGTCGCGTCTCGGTGTGAACTGACCCTCAGCTGCGGTGTCGCAGGGAAGCTGCGTTAAGAGGACGTCACGACACTATATCGGCAATGCGGTGAATTGCGGTGCGGCTTTACCTTAGGCCAATCAAACCATTCTCTCATTGATCGGTTTTTACTTTTTATTGAAAGTTTTTTTTTAGCAATATTAGCGTCTGATGATGAGACTGTGAATTGTATCTACATATGCGTTTACCAGTGTCTATAAATAAAAAAATTGACTGCCTCTTTGTACCAGTGGTTGTAAATGTAACATGAACTTGAGGTCCTGGCTTCGAAGCCTGAGTCGGGTCAAAATCGATAATACTAATAAAATATATTTTATAGGTGGTAGAGCCATGCTGCAGTTATACATATTAGTAGTATAGTTGTACGAATTGCACGAATGGGTTGGCTCGACCGGGGAAAGACCACGCTCTCACAGAATACCAGCGCCAAATAGTAACTTAATGTTGCTGTGTTTCGTATGGTGAGTGTAGAGAGCCGGAGATTTTTTTACTGGAAACGAGGCATTCCATCTAAGTCCTCAAGAGTTTTGATTCTCAATAGAGGATAAACGTAGATGCCTATAGGCCACTGCATCCTCTTATCTTCAGGTAAACTGTGTGTTCGTTTGTCACCCTATACTACAAAAAAGGTAGTTTTCAGCATACATTTTACTACCTACTTACTTTCTGATTTTGGTCAGTTGGTATAAACTCAAAATAAAGTAATAAAATAACTTAATCCCGTCCGTACGGTAAAATGTTAGGGTAAGTTTTTCTGAAAGGTTCCTTTATATTCATCACATTATGCTAGCAACGTGATGTAATGCTAATGTAATAGCCTTTATACGACCCGTTGCTGTCTCGGATACTTCTTTATTAGACTGAGATTGCTGTGGGAACAGGCCTCCGCTTATTGGAGGGTGATGATGGAGCAATTAGTCTTTTGTGTACAAAATTGTAGTTACGTACACATTTGTGACCGTGGAAGGAAAAGGGGAAATCTCCCGGCGGGCAAGGTGTTCTGCCGGGAAGCGGCCAACGCTCCGTGTGATAGTTCGGGGCTATATATACTGTTTTTACTTCGGAACTTTGATAGCGCGATTTAAGCTTCGATGTGTTTCGCTTGTGACGCGACTACAGCGCCGCCATACATTGACAGTTCACCTAAAGTCAAGTGGTATTCCTACTTATTCTTCTAAGGACTAAGATGGAGAGACTAACAGCCTGTAATTACACTGGCTCTGTACACCCTCCACACCGGAACACGGCGAAGCACACACTGCCTGACTGTGTGACAGATATAAGGTGAGAGGGTGCTACTTACCCAGACGGATTCCTAGCCAAACAAGCAATAACAAATTTAAAAAAAAATCAATTCCTATTCTAACATTTAGTTATTCGATTCTGAGCTATATTCAAAATTTCAAATCTTTAGCCCATCGGGAAGTTAGTTTAAAATCAATTACTATTTTCCATCAGGACAGATATAGGGGAGAGAGGAGAGAATTGCGGTCGCTTAAATAAATATTACAATAAAAACTATAGCATTAACAGTAAACCAGTGTATTTTTAATTCCGACTTAACTATTCGTGCACTTGAGATGACGGGTGATAAAAAAATATATAGGAATTGCGAGACGCGAGAAGGATAACCTAAGGAAAAAAGGAATTACATAGTGTCTGCAGTCCCGCTCCCCCCTACACGAAGGTGAGTTAAAAAAAATGCGGTGGAAAGGAGTACATATACCTAAAAGGGTATACATATCCTCGAAATATGTAATTTTTTCGATATTTGTCTCCTCACGGTGCTTCCCTCCACCGCTAAGCGCGGGGTAATTCAGTTGCAATTGACTATTTCATTGATTCCAGCGGTAATCGAATTCGGCTTGCTCGCGTACTGTTGTAGCAAGCTCTTAGCTTCTGAACTACTCTGGCCTATATTGTTGCTATCAGAAATTCTAGAGAATACTCGAAATACACACTAGCATTAATTATTTCTCTCCGCGTGAATTTATTGTATTTTGTGCGCGGAACCCTAATTCTTATTCTAGAATAAAAATAGCCTAAGTTACTCCTTACAATGTCAGCTATCTGCCAGTGAAATTTCTGTCAAAATCGGTTCAGTCATTTTGGAGATAAGCCGGAGCAAACAGACAGACAGACCAACATTTTAAACATTGTTTTCTTTTTGGCGTAAGTACCGTATATATTTTCATATGCATTCAGTAAAAAGTTGTTATTTTGACATTAAAAACAGATACTTCAATTTTATTTATTTATGTAGAATAGACGTATGGTAGCCGTTTAAGAGAATCCATTAACAGCTCTGTCTCGCCAGTAACGCAGTCATGAATTTGCATTCCATCCTTCTTACAATCGGACAAACCTTTGTGCAACAGTGTAATTTTACGGCTCGGTTAAGAAAAAGAAGATATAAACAACATTATAATATAAAATTACTTCTTATATTAATTGCAATGACTTATTATGATTAAAGCGTATCTGTATGGAAGAAGCACTAGGAATATAATTTTAACTTAAAAAGTCTGAAAGTAAGACATATTGTTTAAAACAACGCGTACACTCAGCCGCCCGAGTTGCCTCGGGGTATGGGCCGGAGTGAAAACAAGTGTTATTACTGACGCTGATCCTTTTCTTTACATACTTCAGCACATTGTTTTTTATTAAATATTTTCTTGAATTAATAATGCTGGTGAATACTGCGTTTACTTATCTTTTTGCCTATTATTATATTTTGTGCTGCATCCTTAAACTGGATTAAACGGATTCTTTTTTCTTTCTTTTGTTATAGTTCACTATCGCCATCATTCAACATTCATTGCCATATATCGCGTGTCCAGCATGTCTGAGGAGTAAGATATTTCGAGGACATGATGGGAAGTCCGTCAATACGCACTTAAACAGCGCAGCAAACTCATCGTTTTATTAACTTTTCAGAAATTAGCAGGCACGTGTCTAGTATATGGATGTATAAAGCTTTTTTAAATAAGCTTTTTTAAATAAAAATAAAATACCAGCAATTTTATTAACATTATTAATATTCCCTTTAACCATTCCCGATAAGCTTAAAATGCTGAGGACAGTAGTCGAATGGCGGATTCGAACTCACGACCTACCGAGTTCGAGGTCCGCACCCTGCCATTAGACTACTATCGCTTTACCTTTACTTTTACAGCAAAGACATTAGACGTCTATAAAGTGGTTTATTTTTTATAGTAAAAAGTTATTGTACATACATTTCTTTCCTTTGATAAGATGCTTATAGGAGTAAAGTGCTCGTTCATTTTTATAGACAACATTCGAATAAGAGTTTTTGGAGTAAAATATGTCGTTTTATGCTTCGAAGTTAGTGGGTTTTACGGCGGCGTGACTTTTTTATTTTGTTTTATCTTCACATTAAGGGAGAGCGAGCAGCGAGCTATGGAGAGGGCTGTGCTCGGGGTTTCTCTGCGTGATAAACTTAGAAATGAGGATATCCGCAGTAGAACCAGAGTGACCGACATAGCCCAACGGATTAGTAAGCTGAAGTGGCAATGGGCCGGCCACCGAAAACCGATGGGGGAAAAGTTTCTCGAGTGGCAGCCTCGTACCGGTAGGCGTAGTGTAGGGCGACCCCCACTAGATGGAGTGACGACCTGGTAAGACATGCAGGAAGTTGATGGATGCAGGTGGTTCAGGACCGTGTTTGGTGTCATTCCTTGGGAGAGACCTATGTTCAGCAGTGGACTTGCGAAGGACTGTAATGATGATAATGATTATGTGTGGACAGAATACAAGCATATTCCACAAGCATAGCCCACTCGTTAACTAATTTTACTTTACTGCCCAAATTTGGCCCATAAGGTGGTAGGACTTTTTCTGCGAAATCCGTGGGTAGACACCACCCTTTTATCGGTTTCTGTGTTTTGTTGCTGGGTTTCTTGCTGGTTTTTCTCGGAACAGAGGTTTTTTCCGAACCAGTGGTAAGGCAAAAAAATGACTATCAATAAAAAAATATTAAAATTATTAAATATTTTATTCTATTATACTGCAGTTCTGGTCTTGAAGTTATAGAAAGCCAGTATAAAAACAGGCTGTTAGGTATCCTACTTTATGCTTCGGAGGTGACGCATCTGTAGCCTTTTTCATTTGAAGTTGGCTTCAGGCGTCCATGGGCTGCAGTAACCACTTACCATCATGTGGACTGAATTTAGTTCAATTTACGTAAAAAAATGTTATCTTTACACATATATATATATATATATATATATATATATATATATATATATATATATATATATATATATATATAGATATATTTATTTATATAATAGCTTGCCAGGAGACGTTTTTCTGCCCTATTCGAGACTTTATGTAAAAAATCCTTACATTCGAAAAAATTGTGGGTTATGATGGGCATTCTTCGTGGATAAGAGGATATATATATATATATAATTCTTCTGTGCGTGTTTGTCCCTGAACTTCTCCTAAAAGATTTTGATGAACTTTGGGTGAGTGTGCGAGGGTCCTTGGATGGTTTAGATTCACAATTGGACCCAACAGGTTGGCGCACGTATCAGCGTAATCAATAATAGGAAGAATGAGGGAATTAACCAACATGAGCAACGTACTTTTGAAGGGCAAGAAATTTTTCAAAGATAAAAGAAACGCAGGGCAGCAACAACATTACGGTTTATTTCAGAAATTTGCTATCACCAGTTCATTATTTGATTGCATATAGCAAGCCGAGATTAACCATTGATTAATTGAAAGGGATCCGTATCCCATTGTACACCATAGGTTCTAGGTTCAAGTTTTTTATAGTTAATATTAGCCAGCACTCTTTAAATACCTACAAAGTGGTGTACTTACCTGGTGATTTCTACATCTCGACAATATTGTCGAGATCTAGAAATCACCAGCACAAAGTCAGAGTGTATCGCTAGTTAAATATGTAATCAACAATTTAACTCATTTATAATTATTCTCAATTCAAAGGAGTCGGTATAATCTAGTTTTCGTTGCATTGGGTACGGTCTTGAAAGTTCGAATCTTCGCGGGGATGTTTGCTGAATTAATGCCAAAAATTATAAAGTTTATAAGCATTTAAAATTGAAG